AAACAGAGGCAGAAGAAAATCACTAAAATTCCTTACCTACTGACAAGCCCTTGAAACAGACAGAGTGGCTCTCCCCTGGGGACTTAACTGCCCTCACCTTGAGGTTTTGCTAAGGACAATCCTAGCCTGACCAACCCCCTACCCCAACAGGTCCGACCAGGATCCTGTAAGTCTACTTAAACAATTCCTTTATCTCTAAACCTCCAAGATAGTGTCAAGAATCATTCCCAAGCATATGGTCCACTGATATAAATTTAAAGGGTCTCACGAGAAGATTTTTGTTATTGGTAATAAATAACCTTTCTCCCAACAATAGCTAGCCCCTCAAGGTCCTGGAGACCTTGCTTCTGAAAGCCCTTGGAGACTTACATCATCCATAATCCCCTTTGTCCTCACCCACCCGAGTCCACCCCTACTCTGCCTTTAAAAATTCTGACTGTAATCTGGTTTGCGGTCCAAGTCCCTACTGCGCGGTGTCGGGTATACTTGGGCCCAAGCTTAAGCTTGTCAAATAAACCCTCGTGTGATTGCATCGGTGCTTGGCTCCTTGGTGGTCTCTCGGACGCGAAAACTCGGGCATAACACTTTGCAAGCATTATCTCATTTAATCTTATAGCAGAAGAATGAAGAAGGTATTAGGATTATGCCCATTTTGAAGACGCAAACACTGAGCACTGAGGAGGTTCAATAATTTACCCAGGGCCATAGAGCTGGTGGTACAGCTGGGCTATGAACACAGTATCGAATACTTCTTCTTTTTTTTTTTTTTTTAAAGATTTTATTTATTTATTTGACAGAGATCACAAGTAGGCAGAGAGGCAGGCAGAGAGAGAGAAAGGAGGAAGCAGGCTCCCTGCAGAGCAGAGAGCCCGATGTGGGGCTCGATCCCAGGACCCTGGGATCATGACCTGAGCCGAAGGCAGAGGCTTTAACCCACTGAGCCACCTAGGTGCCCCCAGTATCGAATACTTCTTATGTCAAGCATTGTACTGAAGATCTCTATTCTGTCCTTGAGAAGTTCATAATTTATTGAGAGAAATATGCACCTGTACAGATGGTGAACAAATGAAAACGAGAGTATTTTCCACTGAAAACAGTCTCCTACAAGTTCAAGGCATTACTTCTTCCTATTGCCCGGCTAGTTTACAATGTGTATTACATACCTAAGTATATACAGACATGCACATCAGTGTTACGTATGTTCATATGTACGTATGTAATAAAATCTGTGAACATGGGGTTGTTTCCCCATCCCCCCACTTGTCCAAGCGAACCTTCTAACCCTGTAATTGTCCAATTTCCCCCAGCTTTTCTTTCTTTTAGTGTCTGAGTTCAGGCCAGTTCTGCCAGACAAGTTTCTCTGCTTTTGTGATGCAGATGCAGGCCCTGGGCTGAGAACTGAGGAAGCAAGAGGAGGGGGAGAGACTCAGCTCCGAAGGTTAAGACAATTTACATGATAATGAGCGGGGTGGAGGGGTGGGGCGTGAGAGGAGGGAGAGAGCAGAGGGAAGCAAAGGAAGGGAAGGGAGGAGGAGAGGGTGGGAGAAAGGAGGTGGTTGGGGGAAGGAGAGATGGAAAGAGAGGAAGAGGTGGAAAAAGGGAGAGAGGAGAGGAAGAGATGGAACCTCTTACAGGTTACAGAACACCCTCCCTGCAGAGAGGAGAGGAAGAAAGAGAGAGAAAAAAGGTGGGGGAGAGAGAAGGAGAAAGAGGCCAAAGGAGGGAAAGCCTTAAAGGCTGGGAGTAGAGAGGGGGTGTCTGTAGAATTTGGGGGGGGAACAGCACAAGATGGTGGGGGTGGGCAGACAAGAGAAAGACGACGGGAAAGGATATATGAGAAAAAAAGGAGTGGGAGTTGTCCTTTGGGTCCCTTTTCATATTTTTAGAGAGACTTAGGATAGAGAATTGAGATTCTTTTAAAGATCTGTTGTGCGTGATTTTGCTGTGCCTATTTAAATGGGACGCTGCTCTGGACCTGAATCACAGGGACGACAGCTTTGTTAGGAGTCCTATCTAGATCATATACCTACGTATTTTGCCTGCAGGACCTTGGGCAAGTCACTGTGCCTCCCGGCCTCATTTTTTTCACTTGTAAGGAATAACCACAGCACCCACTGCACAGGTGGTTGTTAGGATTAAGTAAATAATGTCAACTGTTTAAACGGGGTCCTGAAATATACAGACCAGAAGTCACTATTATCACCACCTTTAATTCCTATTCCGTCCAGTACCCCAGGGCCCCACCCCTCTCCCAGGGTGTGGTTCAGGCATTCTCTCTTCCAACATGCCAGCCTCACTCTTTCTCAGGACCTTGGTGCCTTGGTGCTTACTTGGAAACTTTGTTCCCCTCTGCTCGCATGGCTGGCTCCTTCTCAGAGCCGGGTTTCATCACAAATGTCCCTTTCACGTCCAGGGGAAGATTTCAGTCTGAAGTAGTTGCCTCTACACCCCAACCCAGATTAACGTATAGGGATCCCTGCACTCAGCTTCCCAGACGGCAAATCCATGCCAGCGCACTTCCAGAAAATACCTTCCCCAGATGTCTGGCTCACTTTGGCCTGAGTCTTGGGTCAACTTTTCTGCTCCTCACAGGGGACATGACAGAGAGGTGCCCAAGGGCCTAGAGGCCTTTGTCAGCCAGGAGGGTTGTGCCCGAGGAGCTGGTGCTGCCCTGGGGATGGGTCAGACACCTGCTGTGATGCCACCCACTGTTAACAGGACTGACCTCCAATGCTACCATGTCCAGCGGACTCTTCCGGGCATCTCCACTCTGTTCCTGGTGTCCCTCTGTGCTGGTACCTTCCCTGGCCCCCTGCTTGATGACTGTCTTGAGGGGGAAACCTCAAAGAAGAGAAAGACCCACAGAGGCCCCAGGGGCCCCCAGCGCCATCCTTGATACACTGTATTCCCAGCGATCCCCAAGCAATCACCTCTCTGTTCAGCATAATCAAATGGTGGGGCGGGGGACGGGAATCCCACAGGAATAAGTCATGCTTTCAGAACTGAAGGAGAAAAGAATTCCAAAGTCAGAACGAATTTCCGTGTTTTGGTCAGGGCAGGAAGTTTTTGGGAGGGAAATGGTTGGGAGGCAGGCATGGCAGTGAGCACACACCCGCTGGGAAGAGCACACGGGCCGTGGACGTACGTATGTGTGTGTCTGTGCGGCGGGTATGTGCTGTGGACACATGTGCCTCTTGCACGGTCGCTGTCATTTGGGGGATGGAGATTCAGGTACCTTGTTCTCCCTCTGGCCAAGAGGCCCATGGCCTGTCCTTGTCTGAAGATTGCACCAGGCATTTCCTGCTCTGGGTTTTCATGCCTGAGTTAATGACAATGAGTTAGCATATGTAAAATGCTCAGCGCAGAGCCTGGCAGCAAGGAGGTGAGCCATAAAAGACAGCCCTTCCTATTATCACCGTGACCATTACTATTATTAAAAGAAATGGAGCCTTGTAACCTGCTAGGCTGATTCTGATGATGGGAGTATATATGCACTAAATGCCTGGTTTCTCGGGGTGCCGCCCCCACTGGGTTCATTCCTGGATCCCCAGCAGCCAGCACAGTGCCTGGCCCACTAGAAGCTGTCGGCTTATATGTAATGGAAATAAGACAAGCACTAGTGGTACCCCTCTTTCCACGGGCCTTGGCTCTATGGCCGAAACCAAAGCCGGTCCCCCCAGTGGGAAGAGCTTCCTCTGCAGAAATGGTTGCAGAACTCGGCCACCCAGAGGAGCAGTGGGAGGGGCCCTGCTTCCCTGGCCCAGGCTGGCCTCGGACGCACCCTCCATCAACAAATCACCCCCCATCCACTCCACCCCCCTATGGAGGAGAAGCCCATGCCAGAGCTGGCATGACTCTGTCCCACGGAATTAGAATGTTGTGCATAAAATATTGAATTTTACACTTAAAGCTATCTGTCAAAGGGTCCTTATCAGACCCAGAGGCAAGGATAGTTTTCCTCTGGGAAGGAGATGATTTTTTTTAGCAAAGACAGGCTATGTACAACGTACAACTGAATCACACAGTAATCAGAGATGAATTCTCTCTATCCAAAGGCTCCGATGCGCGGGCCTCGGCACTCAAAGACCTCCTCATCTGCTCTCCTTCTCTGCCCTCCAGGACAGAGGGAAAGGGTTGCTGGGATTCACAGTCTCACCAGGGGACATAGAGCCACTTCTGGATAGAATTCTCTAAGACTGTTTTTCCTTCCTTCCCTCTCTCTTTTATTTAGCTTTGCCAAGTGTAGCTGTATATGTTTCAGTCTTATGGTTAATGCAAATGTTTGCAAATAAGAGGCTTTTATACACTTATTCCATTCACCACTTATCAGACACCTGGGAATTCAACTGAAAAACAGTCCCTTGTATGTAAGTGTTGAATCACTAAATTGTACACCTGAAATGAATATTAACAGCGTATGTTAACTCACTGGAATTAAAAAAAAAAAAAAAATGTAAAACAGTCCCTGTTCTAGGATATCAACTTCCTGCAGGAAGGAGAGCCCCTTAGGCCCTCCAGGTCACCTGGGAGAGGCAGACAACACATCCCCTGGTGTAAAGGAGGAGATAGATAGTCAAATCCAAATGGATACAGCCTGCTCCCAAGAAGGCAAGGGATGCTCTCCTGAGGAGGGGAGATGGTGCTCAGGTATTTCTCGTCTGGTTTGAGAAATACTTTGGTTCAAGTTAATTGCCCAAGGGCAAGTACTTGTATAATGCTGCGGGAGTCCCAATTTAAGACATCAGCAACCCTCTGTCATATGCAGTATAAACCCCGGCATTTGGAGGCTGTCGTCTTTGTTGGCGACTTTGCTTTGGAGGTGTGCCCAGCACCTACACCCCTGTTTGACCGAATTTGCCAGGCTGACTGGTGCACTGGCTTGGGCTGGAGACTAGCCTTCTCTATCATAGACAGCACTCTCTTCTGGTTTCTATAAGGCAGCTGACATTATAAGGAGGACAGGCCTTCTCCTTACAGTGCCCATGGGCTCAGCAGCCTACCTTTCTCTCCTTGTCACCATATTCGATGCCCAGAGTGTCCATGGCCCGGACGATGGCTGCCAGTGACTGGATGGTGTTGCTGTAGACAACAGGCTTATACTGTTTCACGTCTTCTCCAGAGAAGCCATCTTCGTGGATGATCCTAGAGAAAAAGCACACAGGCCGTATCTGATGAGTGCACTGTCCTCACTCGGCACCGAGAGCCCAAGACCTGTCGAGCCTCTGGGGCCAACCTGCTGGCTTAGCTGGCCAAGGCCAGGGTCCGACCTGGATGTGGAATTCCTGAGCTGAAGGAAGACTCTACCTGAATTAGTGAAAATTCAGCAGGAAAACAGAATAGTGGTAAAAAGAAATGTGAGTGAGAGAGTGAGAGAGATGGCGTCAGCAAGGAGCTGAGTGTACCTGAAAGTGCTTTGAACGGTGGGAGGGGGGGGCAGGGGGGGCATACAGTAAGAATTCAATATATGTGAACCGTTAGTATTTTTAAGCATAGCTCAGGGTCTTAACCTAAATTTCCACTTAGAATTATGTTGATGAAGACCCCTGCAAAAAGCCTGCAAACGAATAATTTTTCTTTCAGGGAAAACTCACAGTGCTTGAAGGTCAGAGGACTCACTTAAATGAACCGTCTTCATCTTTGACCATGGAAGACTCCACAGAAAGGGTGTACCTGCTCTTCCGTCCTCGGCTGGGATTTGACTACCATGTCACCCTTATTCTAGTGGCTCCGAACAGTGACACAGGGGACACATAGGTGACATTACAGTTCCCAGAGGCCATGTGACACTCTCTGCTCTCCTGTTCTCAGGTTCCTCTGAGGTCAGGGGTAAGGCTAGATGTGCCCTAATGTCCCTTCTTCTTGCACACAGGAGTCACTCAATACATGCTCACTGCTCCCCAGGTTCCAGAGAGGAGAAAAGGCTGGGAAGAGGTCATAAAACTAAAACTTGGCACGGATTCTCTTCCAGTTGAGTAATTAAGAAGGAGCGAATGGTGTCGAAGACTAACCTTGGACAGGAGCCACCACCACCCCCAAGATAACAGTGCACACTCTTCACGGGTCACGTGTTTCTGTTCAGGATTGAATACTCCATCCAGTACGGACATACATCAATCTAAGGGGTGAGGCTACTCTTCCACCCCACCACAGCACCTTCCCATCCCTTCATTACCTTCAGTGCAGAAGGAAATCGCTCGCAAATCTTTTTTTTAAAAGAGTTTTACTGAGATATAATTCACATGCCATACAATCCACCCACTTGAAGTGTGCAAGTCAATGTTTTTTAGTCCATTTATGAGCTTGGGCAACACTGCAGTCTAATTTTAGAACATTTCGTCCTTCTCCAAAAGAAACCCTCTACCTATTAGTAGTCACTCCCCACCCCCCATGCCTAGTAAGCAGCCACTAATCTGTATTCTGTTTCTACAGATTTGCCTATTCTGGATGTATCATATAAATGGAATCAGACACTACACAGTCTTTCATAACTAGCTTCTTTCACTTAGCACCATGCTTTCCAGATTCATCATGCTATAGCATTTTCCAGTACTCCATCTCTTTTTATTGCCCACTTATATTCCATTGTATGGATATACCACATTTTATTTATCCAACCACCAGCTGATGGACACTAACAATTCTTGTAAAATTTGACTTGATACTGGGTGGTGAGTCTTTATCTTGGGTTTCTCTAAGAAGCAAATCAGAATGACCCTTCTGACTTTTCTTGGACTTCTTTAACCCTAGATCCATTTCTGTACAAGTTTCTAGAGGGAAGATACACCCAGACTGGATCATTGGTGCACTACCCCAGAGGGATCTTAGAGGAAATTGCTAGCTCCCACTGTAAACAACTAAAAAATTAGAGAAAATATATGAAACAAGCAGTTTCAGGCACAGTACAGGACTAGGATCCTGGAGACAAGGGAAACAAACATGTTGAGTCCTCTGGTTGCCATGGCTTTCCACTTAGGAGGCATTTATCAGCCCTCAATGCAGGGAGGGAGAGCCCAAGTAGAGTAGAACAGTCTTACTGAGTTGATGAGGTAAAGATCAAAGTTCAGGAAGGCTGAGGTAGCTGGGATTTCATGGGCAAAGCATCAGAGAGAAAAAAACTACAGAGAGAGAGAGAAGAAGCTCTCCATGCATGAACAGGCATCTCCCCGAGTCTTGGGCTGAATAGGGTGGGATTGCATGAGTTTAGCAAGGAGCAAGCATCAGGGAGCTTATAAGCTGGACACCTCCCAAAGCTCACCCAAGGCTGGGAGATGTGCAAGTTCTGACCAGGCAGAGTGGAGAGCCCTTATTAAACCCTGAGGACACTCAGCAGAGACTCCAGAAGGCTCATGCCATAGTAGTAGGGCTAAACTGGCCCTAGAGTAAAAGTTACTTCAGACGTGCCCTGAGGAAGCTCAAAAATTAGACACAAAAACATCAAACTGACCCACAAGTAACTTAATTGTCTTAGAATAAAGTGCAACACTCTTTAAATGAGGACAACAAAATTAGGCACCTAACAATATAATATTTTTAATATTTCATATCCAATACAAAATTCCTGGCTATGCAAAGGAGCAAAGGGTGACCCACAAGCAGGAGAAAAATCAGTCAATAGAAGCAGACTCAGGAGTGACAGAGATGATGGAATTAACTAGTAAGACTTTAAAAACACCCATTTAAAATATTTTCAAGAAATTAAAGAAAAATGTGGACATAATGAGTAGAGAAATGGAAGACATAAAATGAACAGAATGGAACAGCTAGGCATGAAATATCTGAGATAAAAATTTCACCGTATGGGATTAGCCCATAGAAGATTAGTGACCTTGAACAATAAGCAATAGAAACGATCCAAAATAAGTAAAGAGAGGAAAAAGGCTAAAAAAGAGGTATTGTGATATTTATAACATAAGTAAAACTAAAACTTACGCAACAATAGCACAGAGGATGGGAGGGATAAAATGGAAATATACTGTTGAAAAATTCATATACACGAAGCACTTAACAGTACAGCATGGTAAGTTAAGACATATAATATAAATTTTAGACAACTTAAAAGCTATATAAAAAAGCCTGTTGTCACCCAGGCTCCAAGACCAGACTCCCCTCCGAGGGTGGGACACGCTGGGTGACCTGAGACGAGCAGCTGGGATCTGTGACTCTCCATGATACTCTCTTCCAGGAAGCCAGTACAGTGAGTTTTTGATTCTTCATTCTGGACCAGCAGGCCTTACCAGTATCCTGGGAATACTCTCGAGACCCTTGGTGGCCTTCAGAACTTACCCCCACTTGGGACACAACTATAATTTTATACACCTATTAGTATCGGTCATGATAGCACCTACTAAGGCAGGGAGGCCAGGTTTTTATGATACCTACTTGACATTAGAGGAAGTGAGCCTGAGAGAGATTAAGTAATTGGCCTAATGTCTTCTAAGTCCAGGAGTAGAGCACGGGCTCTTTACTTTTCTACCCCACCTCAGTCCTTGGGCTGGACTGGGTGGAAAACCACCTGGAAGGTCTCAGCCTGGTGCCGGGCAGGGGGTCGGGGGGCTAAAATAAAGAAACTTCATGGGAGGTTTGCAGAAATGAGGCAATATGGGGAAAACTTGCTCCAATCATGACTACTAGTTCCATTACTTGTTCAAACGGGTGGACAGTAGCTTAAAATTGGGCTTCCTGTTTCAGGGTAGAATTTTATGTTGGCCTTTACCAAGTAGTAAGTATATTAGTCTTACTACCAGTAAGGAAAGTTGGGCCATATAAGACAACACCAAAACCAAACCAAAACAAAACATACTATTAGTAATCCCATCATTCAGGCAAAAACACTGATGTTTTTAGTGTCAGCCCTAGTATTGCTTTCATGCCATCTTCCTCATCTTCTCCCCGCAACCCTGCACCCTCAGCAGGGATTTGAGTCATATATCCTTAAAAGTATCACTTGAGGCCCCTTTATTTTCTATTCCCCATGTCATCCGAGAGGCAGAGAAGAGCAGTGGGAGGCTGACTTCTTGGGCTCCGGAGCCAGACAGATGTGGGCAACCCTGGCTCTATCCTGATGAGCTGGGTGTCACTGGTAAAGGATTTAAACCCTTAGGTCTTGGGTTTCTCCTATGCGACGAGTTGTTGTGAGGAATAAATGCAAAATGCCTACTATATAGTAAGTATATATAAATGATAGCTGTGAGTAGTGATAGTTGCATTCTAAAGCCAGAACCCCCCAAACAGAATTTCCTTCATTGGTATCAAGGAACAAAAAAAGAACAGCGGTAGTTGTTGGGGGATTTACTCTCTGCCTTCTGTGCTTTACACATACCCTCTCGTTTAATCTTTAAAACAATCCTAGGAGATGAAAACTATTATTATCTCTTTACAGATGAGAGAACCGAAGCTCAGAGAGACTAAGCCACTTACCTGAGGTCACACAGCTGGTAAGCATCAAGAGTGGCATTCGAGACCCTGCTCGTGACTACCAGACAGATGCTGAGAGGCAGAGTCGCTTCTGCCCTAGATCCCTGTATCCAGGCTCCCAGAGGATCCAGAGATCTCACACACAAAGTGAGTATCAGAACATGTCCTATGGTATCAGTGCAAGGAGTGTGGGGCAAGGAAAAGAGGTGTCTAGTCAGGGTTATTTTTATTTATGTATGTATGTAGGTACATATGTACGTATGTATTTATTTATTTAAGGAGGCTCCATTCCCAAAGTGGGGCTTGAACTCATGACCCTGAGATTGAGAGTCACATGTTCTACTGACTAAGCCAGCCAGGTGCCCCTGGTTAGGGGTTGGAGAGGCAGCCCAGGGGAGTCTAGGCTCTTGTGACAGCTTAGGTCTGAGCCCTGGAGGACATAGCACCAGGATTTGGAAAGCAGGAGTAAGGCTGCGTGTGACAGCTTAGCGAAAGTCAGTGGCATTTCCAGTATCATAGTGCAATAGCCCCAGAAACTGATCTTCATCCGAGATCAAGTCCCAGAGACATCATCTGAGCCACTGGATCCAGTCATACCTGAAGCTAATCCTATCTCTACATTTTTGAGTGACAGGAGCCCAATCATTCTCCTAATTTGACTTGGGTTTCTGCCACTTGCAACTGATAGAGTCATGATAAAACATGCTTTGCACCTTGAGAACCACAAT